GTGTTTGTAAGTAGGATCACAAGTCTGCATCTTGTACAGCAATTAACCACTAAGAAGAATATATGCAGTGTATTATTTGTTGAAAAAAAAACAAAACAAAACAAAACAAAAAAAAAAAAAAAAGAAAGAAAGGACTTCAAATGCTTAATGCTTACTAGTGATTCCCAATCTGCGCAAGGAAAGGGCCCACTCTGTTCTTTGAGTTGGAGAGCTGGGTACAAGTCCTAGCTCTGCAAATGACTTGCTCTGTAATCACATGCCAGGTCCTTTGTTTGTTCTATGTTCCCACCTATCAAGTGAAAGAATTAGGTGTCTGAAGGAAGTACAGATCCTCAGTTTGTTCTTAATCAGCTGTCAAGTTAATCAAGTGCTCCATTCCCTTCAGGTCTGTTCCCCATCTGTCCAAGGGTGGGGCGGCACCAACTTCCTGGGACCGGATCCCAGATATCTGGGTTCCAGACAGCTTAGGAAAGACTCCGCGGCAAAGGCAGCTCGGTATCTGCGAGGTGCGAGGGTTTGGGGCTGGAGGAAGGGCAGTGCTCGACCGCGGGCTTGGGGTGGGTGGCACTTTACCCACTCCCCGTTTTGCGCCTGGGTCAGCGCGGACGCACGCCCACCCCCATCGCCCGCCACGACGCACGCGGAGACTTGGCCACGGCTTCCTCCCAACGCGCCTGGGGCTGAGACCAGGACGACCCTCAGGGGGCCCCGCTGGCCATCCTCGCCTCTGTCCTCACCTCTCGCTTCCAGCCCGCCGCAAGCCTAGGTTCGCAGTGCTTCCTCCGCGGCAGACCGGCGCAAGGGACACGGAGGTGCCGGCAAAGGCGCCCGGCCCCTCGCGGGCCTCTCTTTAACAGACCTGGGTCCTCTCCCGCCCATTTCCCGCCCCTGCCTACGGATCAGGCGGGGCCAGGCCGGGCTGCACCGAGAGGGGCGTGGACGCAACGGCCTAAAGGTGCGGAAAACAGGTCGGTGCGGGAGCCGGCGCCGTGGCAGTCACGTGGCCTAGCGGCGAGCGACGCGGCCGCCAGCCAATGACTCAGCCCAGACCAGCGAGGGTGCCGCCCCTCACCGGCTCCTTTCTCCACGATTGGCTGTCTGGGCGGACGAGCCACGCGGCCGCGTAAGGTGGTGCCTCTCGCCCACGCCGCGCCTGCCAAGTCAGTTCCTTACCGGCTTTGGGCACCGAGTGGGGTCCTGCGGGGCAGATGAAGTATCAGGGAAGGGGCGGGCACTGAGACGGATGGTGGGCAGCCTGAACTACTTAAGGAGACTGCCTGAGAAGAAGGGAGCGAGGGAGGGAGAAGTGTCCTGTCCAGAGGCGCGGAGTGCATTCGTGTGCCCAAGTTCATCTCAGACTTCTCCGACCCGCGCTGGCCTTTGTAGAATGAAGTTTGAAGTCCCCATGTTAGAGCGCTTACTCTATTAGAGCTCTCGTCCTGGTAGAGCTCATTTTCCACCAAAGATTTCAATAACCAAAAGGAGCTCTAAAAAATATAAAGATAAATGTAAAATGTAGTTCCAGTTCCAGACGGGAGCCCAAAGGGCCCAGGAACGTTTTTTTTTTTTTT